CTGGTGCTATTGCAGCCTACCCTAACAAACTGCAGGTGGGGCAGAGAGCTCCAAAACTTCCAAACCCCAAGCAAAGAGGATAAATCTGCAGATCTCGCTATAGCTCCTGCTGGGTGGCCTCTTGCAGTAGCTGACTTTGCACCTCCTTGGAGATCCAGGAGCCAGTGTATCTAGTGGTCAGTGTGAGATCATATCAGATTTCAACTCCTCACATCCATAAGTGACACACTCAAGAGGCAGACTCAGTGAGCACCAAAGCCCCAATGAAGCAGGTCCTGACCCATAAGGGTGTCTCCAGCATTTCTTCCATTATAGACACAGTGGATCCTCATAGCCAATTGGCCTGGAGGTCAATTTCTCCCAGTGATACCAACAATCAAAGCTTAACTACAACAAGACTGTGCACACAGCCCTCAGGTGACAGGGAGGCTGAGCCACTGGGCCCTATAGCACACTTACCACATAAAGCCACTCGATCAACACAGGGATCCACCAAAATGCGAAGACAAAGAAACATGTCATGAATGAAAGAAATGGAGGAAAGCAAACAAACTACTGGATATAGAGTTCAAAACCACAGTTCTAAGGATACTTAAGAATATTCTAGAAACGGTCAAGAAACTTAGTGAGACCTTCAAGGATCTAAATGAAAATGCCAAAAAAATAAAAAAGGACTAGTCAGGAATTAAGCATACACTGTCTGAAATAAAGAATAATATACAGAAATTCAACAGTAGACTAGAGGATCCCAAGAATCAAATCAAAGATTTGAAATATGAGGAAGCAAGAAACACCCAACCAGAAAAACAAAAAGAAAAAAAGAATCCAAAAATATGAAGATAGTGTAAGGATCCTCTGGGACAACTTCAAGTGTACCGATATCTGAATTATAGGGATGTGAGAAGTAGAGAGAGAGCAAAATATCTGAAGAAATAATGACATAAAACGTGCCCTACCTGATGAAAGAAATAGACTTACAAGTCCAGGAAGCGCAGAGAACCCCAAATAAGAGGAATCCAAAGAGGACCACACCAAGACACATCATAATTAAAATGCTAAGGGCAAAAGAAAAAAACAAAAAAACAAAAAAAAAACACAAACAAACAAACAAAAAATAAAATAATAATAATAATAATAATAATAATAATAATAATAATAAAAGAAAATGCTAAGGGCAAAAGACAAAGAGAGAATCTTGAAAGTAGTAAGAGCAAAACAATTACCTACAAGGGAGTATCCGTACGACTGTCAGCTGATTTCTCAACAGAAACTATTCAGGCCAGAAGGGAGTGGCAAGAAATACTCAAAGTGATGAACAGCAAGAACCTATAACCAATATTACTCTACCCAGCAAAGCTATCATTTAGAATTAAAGGTCAGATAAAGAGTTTCACAGACAAGAAAAAGCTAAAGGAGTTTATCACCACCAAACAGGATTATATGAAATGCTGAAGGTTATTTTAAAAAGAGGAGGAAGAAGAAAAAGGTAAAGATAAAAATTATGTACAACAAAGTGACAACAAATACATATCAACATCTAAATCTAAAAATCAAGTGAATAATCTGATGAAGAGAATACTCTGATGAACAGAATAAACTGGTGAATATAATAGAATCAGGGGCATAGAAGGTAGTAGACTGACAATTCTCAGGGGAGAAGGGGAAAGGGGACATGAAAGGTGCAGGAAGAGATTATACAAAAATCTTTGGATGAGGACAGTGGCGAGGGGTAAGGGCATGGGTGTGGGAAAGAGGAACCAGTTGGAGAGGAGCCATGGGGGGGAGGGGAGAGAAAGAGGAACTTCTGTAATAATCTGAATAATAAAGATTTATTTTAAAAATAAATAAATAAAACAATACTTAAAAATATATATATATGATTTTGGGATAGATTCACTGGACCTCAATATGCATCTGTTGGGAGCAGGTAGAGTAGAAAGGTGAGAGGGAATGGACACCTATCTATTCCGACAATTTAAGGTCCCCAGATTCAAAGGTAAAACACATTAAAACACACCGGCACCCTTGGACATATCGCTCAATTCAAGTTAATGTTAGAAGATGTGAAAGAAAAAAAAATTAGACATTCTTCTCACCTTCACTGATTCACAACCTCAAAGAAGTTCACATCAAGTTATGGGCAATGGTGAAATTCGAAAAGTTCTTAAAATAAATTTTTAAACTGTTTCAATATATAAATTTGAGGCCAAGTCAGTTCTAAACTTGAACTGGCTAGAAGATCAATAGCCATTATCCTGGCATTGAATGTAAACATTTACATATTACAAGTCTTGTTATGTGGTGAAGTCCCAAATCCCACTGATGATGTGACATAATATGTAGCGTAATGCAGTAGCTTTGGAGAATATAAAGTATTCCAAGTTCCAAAACACATGTAGCCTGAGGATTTCAGACAATGGAATCTGAACAATATCTACTTAAGGAATAAAAGGGAGAATAACATTATAAAGAGGTAAACTGCCTAAGGTGTGAAGCTGGATTGAAGAATGTATTTTCCATCCCTTTCAAGTTAGAATTGGCTTAGAAATATTGGATATTGTGTAACACAGGAACAATAACACTACTTATGCCACTGAGTTCCTGGAGAAGCAAGAAATAATCCATACAAAATGCTATAAACAATGCCTGGCACAAAGTAAATACCAATAAAGAAAGTGCCTAGAAAAATACTTTGACCACTTACTAGGAAAAGGCAAACAGATGAATATAGAATTCAGATAGTTAGCTGGCACTATACCATATTATATTTTGGAATATATGTCAACAGTTTGATTTTTAAAAATCCAAGAGTTTTCTTTTTCCTCTGCCCAGAGGTATTTCTGCCATCAGGCCTCAGAGGTAGTAGTATTATTGCAAGTTCTGGAGGCAGGTAGCAATCTCAGCGGAGCAAACAAGCATGTGGAGCTGATGGAATGTACCAAGATGCCAAGCTTTTAATACACAGATCTATTATTTGGAAAGAAATGAACAATGAAGAGCAACCCAGAGGAATGTTTCCTGAACTTGATGTACAAATCAGCCAGAGTTTTTGTTAAAATGCAGATTCTAACTTAATGTGATGGGGCCAGACTTCTGCATTCTAGTTTTCAGGGAGTCAGAAGGCTGCTGGCCCACACGGGGAGTAGGAAGGCCCCTGAGCAGTGGTCCTCACCATGAACAGGCAACATCAGAATCTCTTGGGGATTATTAGAAAAACAAACCCTGGGGCATAAGGAAACGCTGGGAAATTGTTGCTCTAAATCGGCTGTTTACATCCAGTCAGACTTTTCCTGGGAATAAAAGTAGAATACTTTTTAAATACATTAAAAATAAAAGGAGTCTAGGAGACTATGGTACCTAAATAAGAAAACTGACATCTCTCTGCAAGCAATTATCAAAACTACAGCCCCTGCAATTACACTTAAAATGTAGGCTTTGACATGCTAAGCAGCCTGCTCTGATGATACAGAGGCAGAAGTGTACAGAACCACTTACCAACTAGCCACAAAATAGATCATTTCCATTTCACCTAGTAAACAGAGATAGGACTTTGTAAAGAAACCAAAGAGAGTTTTATCTTTCCTTGAGTTGAGAATGTAACCCAACCACATCATCATGGTTTAGCCAACTTCTCCAAAGTAATGTTTACACATCCCCTGGCTCATATGTAAATATATGTCAACAGTTTGATTTATAGCTATAGGTGATCTGTTTATATACACAGATACACAGACACAAATTACAGTACATTAATGGTTTGAAACACAATATCCCTAAAGGAAAAAAAAAAAAAAGCCTGGAGGGTAAACTATAAATAATGTCATGACCAGAAAAAAAAAAATAATAATAAGATTTCAGTTTTTGATTGTTCCATAGGTGGTTTTCCCAAAACTTGATAATACACTTGATGCATTCAGAATTCAGAATTAGTTTTCTTTTCCAATTTCCAAGTTTGAATTTACAAGTTCACCTTTCAAACGAGTTTACAAGATCACCGGTCAGAAATGGAGCACACAGTTCTGTCCTCCATCTATTTTTTAAAGAAATCAGTTACTGACCTTGAAAGATACTGCATTTGCTTCAGGACTGGGGGGTGGACCCCCTTGAGTTCTCCCAGGACCATGCCTTTCACACAGTGCTGCGCCCAGAACACACCTCAGGTGTTCCCTGGGGGGGGGGGGGGGGGGGGGGGGAATGCTTCTGTGTGGAGTGAGCAGAGGCCAGGCTTGCTGCTCAACACTCAATGCCAGAAACAGTGCTCTCAACAAAGAAACACCCAGCCTCCAATGCCAAGGCCCGGAAACCTTGATGTACGCAATTGGGGCTGCAAACACACAGGACGAATGTCCTGTATAGGCCTCATTATTATATTCCTAGCACAGCATGAAGCACAGGGATAAATATTTGTTGATTATTAAATAAATTACCACTGCATAGCTGGGACTTTAGAGTCATAGAGATGAAAAAAGAATGAGAAAGGGGTTATTATACATGTAATCTCTAAAACTACCCAACAAAATTAGTCATTGTCAGAACCAGAAAAAAAAAAAAATGTAAAAAGTCAGTCAGCCCAATCTCCGTGTTTTGGGAATAATATAATATTTTCATACAAAAGATGCTTTCTAATGCACTGATATTATAGTGATGGGGGATCAGTCCTCTTAACAATAACAGTAAAATATAAAAATCTTTATAAATTTACTAAAATATTGGTTGCTACTTTGAATAGTGCCAATGTCCCATACTTTCTTCAAATTAATAAAGCATTTCCTCTATAAAAAGTAAGACCAATACGACATAAATCACACATAATAAGTGATATTTCACAAGCAGGAAACAAAGCAACATGTAATTATTTTTCAAAAAAGCAAATCACAGACTTCCATGGCCTACGGGCATTTATACTTCTGAGAATTCTGAGATCTAAAATGTCATGAGAAATTCTGAACTGGCTTACATTTCTGAAACACAGGAACTGAGAGTCAAAAGGCCAAACATACCCTTAATAATCGATTCAGCTGCATACAAATCTCGTTTGTAGGTCACCTAAAGGACAAATAAACCTCATTAGACTTAACAGAGCAGGAAGGAATGTGAGAGCAATAAAATTATGCCCCCAAGGAAATTCTTGATTTGGGAGAAACTATAAACACATAATACTGACAATTTCTAAATTACATCAACATCAGCAAATTCTGAATAATGTATTCTATTTCCACAAATGGTTAGAGATTTGTTTGTTGAATTCTTGTCAATGTAACAGAAGTTTATCAAAGAATATGTGGCGGTATTTATATGAAAGTATTAGAATTCTTGTTTAACAGTGAGGTTTTACTTAGGAAGGAAGAAAAGGTAAGTATAACAAAAAATCACCAAGTCACCTCTTTAGCTAAAATGAGGAAATTCTCAAAGGTCAACTCACATTAAGAAGGGAGCTTCTTCTGAATGGAATATGTCTGTATGTACCCACAAGGTTCACCTTATGAGGATTTTTGGCTCTGATAAAAAGAGCATAGAAGGCACCACCATGTACATAAGAATAATCACAATCTTTCCTTAAAAACATATAGCCTCCTCGCAATTGTAATGGGCTCTTTGTAATGTAACCTGACATGGTCCTTTGGCAGATACGTCCCAGGTCACATCACTGAGCTCAGATATAGAACATGTCAGGTGTACTGCATCACAGAATAGTTCTCCCATACCACAGAACTGAAAATGTACTAACTAATGAACTAAATAATAAATACTATAAGGTCTTAGGAGCTCATCATTCAAATGCCCAGATGATTAGAATGCAACTGGTCTAAAAACCTACTTTGAAAAGTACTCTCACCAAATTAGTACCTTTCTATGCCTACAATTTAAACTTCTTTTCCCCTCCAAATTATCTCATAACGACACTTGTACAGAAACTTTGCTCAGCTCAAGTGACCCAGGGCACTTCTAACCAAAATAGATTCCTGCTCTATGCCTTTATCCTGGCTGATAAATCCTAGCCCCAAACTACAATCCAGAATTAAAAGTAGAGGTCAATTTGTAAGACAGATGAGAAATTTCTCAAGCATTCAACTAATCTATTTAAAGTAAATGTGACATTGCTACATTATCTCTAAATCAAGTACATGCCAAAGAAAACTAGAACTATAGTTACTGACCTATTATCTGGGGGGGAAAATAGAAAACAGATATTTAAAAGTTCATGCTGTGCATTTTACCAAATTAAAGGTTGCACTAGTATTGATTTCATTCATTCATTTAGCAAATACTTATCATATAACTACTGTGTTCTAGGTCCTAGTCAAAGTCCCATTTTAAGTGCGGGCAATAGAGGATTCAGAAGAATGGGAAAAACTTGTTCACTTGAGTGGAATACATTTTAGTGGAGAGATTTTTCTTATAAGAATTAAATGTTTTTCTTTTGCTGCTTGAAAAATCAAAGTTAGCTACATATCTGAAATAAAGATTCAATGTGTGCAATTTAAATGAGAAAAATGCCTTATTTCTATATTTGTTCGCTGTGTGAGTAAACGCAGAAATTAATGGGAAGGTGGTTAATTACCTTATTCATCTCTATCCCCTCCTGCTTTTGTTGAGGGATAAGATTGCATTCCAACTTAAAATAGAATTGTGAAAGTCTTTTTTTTTTCTCAAATAAATCTTAATGATGTTTTTAATTAAGAGAAAACTTGCTTTCAAATACTAAAGTGTTTTTCTAGCATACTTCCAAGACAACATTTTTGCATTGGAGTCCGTATTATGAATAAAATACATGTCTTTATTACCCAAAAGTCCTCTCTCTACTATTATTAAATAATTAACTGTGCAAACAAGAAAGAGTACTAAATTTCCTTTGTCTACTTTTTTCTTATAGGCTATGGATACCAGCCATGTGCTGATTAAATGCTTTGTATTTTATATCTTCAACATAAAGCCATACTGAATACCTCAGCTCTGCTTCTAAAACACTGATGTAATGAAAATAAATAACAAAATATTTCTCTTAAACTTGTTAAATACTGAGTCTAAAACAGCCCTTTTTTCTAAGGGAAAAGTACTGGGAAATGTAATTCTGAATTAATGACTTACTCCGTTTCTGTCAGACTCATAGTAACATAGGTTGCCCTTTCCTTATTTTAATTTCAAAAACAGTTTAATGATCAGTTTTGAAGTTGATTTTCTTCTGTCAGCATGATCTATAGTTTTTCTTTGTCTTTACATGACACCTTATGACAGTTATTTTTTAAAAAAATCAACCTCGTAGTGATGGGGGGGAGCCTTGGTCCTCTGATTTACTGGTTTTCACACTGGGGCTTTAGAGCCTCAGGGGCCACCTGCACTCCAGGGGAGGGGCTCTGTGCACCTGAGACTCTGAGCCCCACACCTGCCACTCACCTCCGGAAGCTCAAGTTCTGTCTGTTAGTTCGACTGTACTTCTGTGCTATATTTCATCTGGGTAAAGTGTTTAGATAAAATATATATGTGAAATATACTTACATATATACACATATAGATGTATACATGTACATATGTAAATATATGTGGTTTTTTTTTTTTCAATTGAAGAAACACTTGAAACTGAGAGCCACAGAGATAGTTTTCTTCCAAATACGAGGCCAGGGCTCTCTCAGCTACCTCCAGGTGAGCACCAAAAACACAAACACTGTCACACCTACTTTGTGTTGTTCCATCTGCATTAACACTCAATATCGTAAATAAGACTTTTCAGGGTCAAGTCCAGTTGGCTATCATCTTACATGAGTTACGTTATACTATACTTAATGTTCTCCCACCTTGCACTGCATGAGAAAATTAATATGTAACTCCAATAATTAGAATCCAGAAGATCTTAAAATTTAAAGATATAGAATGTTTACTAGATACAAATGTAGACTGGGGGATATTTATTATATTTATTTCTATTTCATCAGTAACATCTATGTTGAAAATATTCTTTTCTCTAGACAGAATAGCTAGATGAAAACCTCCAAAAAAGAAATTATGCCACCACAGTGTATTTTTCAGATTTAAAAAAAAAGGGGGGGGGGGCAAAAAGTGAGACTTTTGTTTCTTTAGTTCTTAACAAGGATGCTAGAACACTTGGCTCCTTAAAAAAAATGTTCACATCCAAAGGAATCCTCAAAAGTCAGCCATTCCAGTAATACTGTGATGACTCAAACACTTCGGAAACTCCTCCTAAAGAAGCCTTTTCAGACAACGGGACACAGCTGAATTTCTTAAATAACTGGTTATAAATCTATAAATCTTTCAAGCCCTGAGGGTGGTTTTACCTTTAGAAACAGGAAGTCTGTTCAATTAGATTTACACAGTGTAGTAAGTGATCAAATATTTAATTATATTTCAGACAAAAACAGGGCACATCTACCCATTAAAGAGATGGAAGTCCTTCAGGCGAGACGGAGTTCCACTGAGGGCGGTAAGTGTTCACTGAGCCTGACAAGGCACCAGCACTCGGAAAGCATGAGTGCTAACACCTATTTCTGGTCTCTTCTGTAGTTGGTCACTCTTTGGGCAAAGGGTGGCTCATTTCTGGGGATGGCCTCTACTTTGCAGGGTGATTTGATAAAAACTGATGTTTCCTCCATGCCCCAGGGTGCCTGCTGCAAGAACATTGACATCAACACTGAATTTTACCTTTTACATTTATTTCTACCAAAAAAAAAAAAATTAAATAAATAAAAAAGTATGTAAAATACAGAAATAATAACCCTCCTGGGATTTCTGGTATCAGAGTAACAGTCCTAGTAACAGTCCTCGCACCACTGAGAGGGTGAACACCCTGACTTCGGAGAGGTAGGGGAAGGTGTCCTGGCTCTGCTGTCTTCTGGGAGTGCCATGCCTCCTGAGATGTGTTTGTCACTGTGTCAGATTTCTGAATCCTGCTCCAGGTACTGGGCGCAGATACCGGAGTCCAGTATTAATTTTAGCGTAATAATACAAAATCTTTTCTCACATCTGAGTTTTAGCCAATGGTAGAAACATTGGAATTATTATAAAATTACAGCAGTAATGTCAAAGTGGAGATTCCATTATTTTGGTTTAAAAGAAACTGAAATAATCTCTATTCATACGAAATGGTAACACCATAAAAGTAATTAATTTAGAAGTCTATACTTAAGACATCTCATACAATGTCATCATAAGAGGCTAAATAGGGCTAAATAAACAGCTGGGAATTATTTTTTTTAAAATAAAAAAATAAAAAACTAGGGGCCCTGTGCACAAATTTGTGCACCTAGAAAGGAACTCTGTGCTGTGAGGCTGTAGTGGACACAAGGGCTGGTCTTGGCCCACCCTCCAAGCCCCACCTGGCTCCTCCCACCTTGGCCCCTGGTCTCGTCTGTTGGCAGTTCCTGCTCCCACTGCCGACAGCATTGGCCCCACTTGCACCTGCTAATGGCACAGAGTGATTGGGCTGGAGCCAGCAGTGGGTGAGAGTGGAGCCCAGCGCCATCAGCAGGTGCAAGTGGCTTCTTCCTTGATTGCCTCTCAGAAGCAGGGGGAGGTGGAGAAGCCCTCAGGGGCGATTGGGGCTGACAGCTGCCGCTCACACCCGCTGATGGCACCGAGCAATTGGGAGCAGTGCCAGGTGCTGGCAGCGGGTGCGAGCGGTGGCTCTGGAGCTGGCTGTAGGTATGAAAGGGGCCAGTGCCAGCAATGGGTGCGAATGGGGCCATCACTGGCAGTGAGTGTGAGCAGCGGTTGCTGACCCAGATAGCCCCTCAGGACCAGCAGGAGATAGAGAAGCCCTGAGGGGCGATCGGAGCTGGCAGCCGTCCCTGGCACCCAGTGATGGTGCTGAGTGATCAGGGCTGGCGCTGGGTGCGAGCAGTGGGTGCAAGTGGCAGCTCTGGAGCTGACAGCAGGTGCAAGCAGGGCTGGCACTGGCAGCAAGTGTGAGCACCTGGTGGGACCACAGCATGGGGGAGCAAAGAATTTTCAGAAACCACCAGAGGCTCGCCCTGATGACAGAGACTGGCACCCCACCTTGGTCTGGCACCCCCAAACACCTGCTACACTATCCCACCGCAGCCAACACCTGCCACATTCTGCGTGCGCCCCCTGGTGGTCAGCGCACATTATAGTGACTGGTTGTTCAGAAGTTCTGCTGCTCAGTCTATTTGCATATTGGGTTTGATAGATAGATAGATAGATAGATGATAGATAGATAGATAGATAGATAGATAGATAGAACGATGGAAGATAATGAATAACAGGAGGCAGAAGGAAACAGGGAGCCAGAAACAATTGCAATATTTATACTCTAAGTAATGTCACCTTACTTTAGAGAAGAAATGCAATATCTATAAAAGGCCTCTCACTGTCATATGAAATATTTTCGCCCAATCCATTGCATTACATACCCCTTTAGAATTCAAGGTCCTATTAAAGCACATCATTATTCCAAAAAAATTGGCACTCCCACCCCAGGACTATTGTGGAAAGCAGAGTTCCATCCTCAAATCCAGTTGAGTGTAAGGCAATAGAGTAAAAGGACACACAGAGAGAACAAGAAAAAATATGTGGATAAAGCAGTCTTACTGGCTAACTAGATTTTTAAAAATAAATTGTGTCAAAGTAAGTTTTCTTAAAACCAAATAATAGAAGCAATACCATACTTTGATGTCTCAAAAAACCCAGTAAAACTTTTTTAAATACCTTAATGTATGCGCGCATGCGCACACACACACATACACACACACACACACACACACATACACACACCTTTCTTCCAGAAATAGTGATTCAGCATGAAACCAAGTATTTTTATACTATTTCCCCATTTTCTAAAGCACCTGTAACGTGTTTGTACTTGCAACATGTGTCTTCAGAAATGACATAAGCACAGACAATTCCCAGAACAGAGTACCAATTCCATTACCTTCCAGAGATCAGGTGATCCTTCCACAAGTTTGGCCTTGACATGACAGTATTTTAGAGCCAGTTGCAAACACTCAGTTCCAAATTCCAGGTCATAGTCACTACACTGGGAAGGGGGAAACAGAGTTAACAAGTTAAAATAAAAATTTAAGAAAAACTTAATCAATTATTGTATAATCAATTACATAGAGGAAAGGAAGAGCCTACAGAATTTCCAAGCTCTTTGATTAGCTATTGATTATTCAAGTTATAGAATAGTTTTCCCTATGTACTAACAGCCAGTAGAAAATAGGAATGTTGCAATGGTAAGTCTCAAACTTCTTCAATCATTTCTGATGTCAGAATATTTAATTTCTTTTGTTCATAAGCTACCTTCCCAAACATGTTTCTAAAGTGCCTAAGGATTTCCATATCACAATTTGATTTAACAAATATATGTATTCATAAAACTCCAAATCCCCTTCTTTATATGTATATCAATTTATAGTTGTAGGTTATAGGTCTCTCATTCGCCTTAATAGTTTAAATATCAATACATCCTTTTAAAATTATTTATATTTTTATTCCAAAACTGGACACAGTTTTATAAAGGTCTTTTATACACTTGGGAAAATATAAACAACAACATTTTAAAGCATAGTAAGCAGAATCATTAAAATTACCAACATAATATAATTCAGCTGAATAATACTGAGTGCCTATTACATGCTTTGTATTAAGTGACACCATATAAATATAAAGGAGACACTTATTGTGTCCTCCAGGACTCCAGTCTGGAAGGAGAGACTGGTTTATAACAAACATTTTGCTACCGAATGTGACAGATGTAGCTCTAGAAGAGAGTCTAGAATTAGGTCAGGAGATAAAATACTTAATGCTATGAGAGGGCTTCAGGGAAGGCCTAGCAGAGGAAAACCTTTATTTTGTGCTTCCAGCACCTCCACAATCTCATCTGTTAGTATGTGAGGGAGATGTATGTACAGTGAACAGTGGTCTCTTTACCCTGTGGTTAAATCCCAAAGATGACGAGCAATGATGCTGTTCCTGCCTCTTCCCAGAGGTCGGATACTGAGCACATCTGGGGACAGCCCTCAACATGCTCACAAAGTGAATACTGAGAGGAGCCCATAGCAACAGCTACTCCTGCCATCCCAGCTGGTGGGGTAAGAATATTACTTGATGCTGTGCCCTGCCAACCATGTGATATACTAGGCAAGATGCCAACAGCCTATACATTACATAAAGTCTCTAGGATTCCAGCCACCAGGGTCACTGGGAATCATGAAAAATTATGGGTCAGGTATAAATATATACCAGAAAGAGAGGCTAAATATTTTGACAGAAAGACTGGTCTAAACTTTCCATTCATTGGGTGGAATGATATTACAATTAGTCACAGAGTTTTTAGTAATTGTTGGCATTAAAACCTTGCTTTCACAATGAGTTCAAACAATGCATGCTTCATGACAAGTTGCATTTGAACTTCTGTGTCATAAGAACACTGATGATGACTTCCACTTTTCCCTAGGATATGGGAAAAATGATGCTCATTTCTGAAGAAAAGAAACAGCAGGTAAACTATACAAGCACAACTTTTTCTTGAACCCAGAAATAAGGTCACAGATAATCACTAAACAGACATTTTAAAGTTATGAATAAGAAATCAATAGTGATAAAATAAAATTATAAAAAATAAGATATTAATGCAAAGGCAGACAAAAAAAGAACAAATGGAACTATTAGAAATACCCAGCAAGATGGTATTTAACCAAGAAAGATAATGATGTATAATTGCACAAAATGTCAACATTTATTATCCAGCATGGGAGTTGTAGTGATATTATCACATGAAACACACACAGACACACACACACACACACACACACACACACACACACACAGATGCTGAGAACTCCATGCCTCCTTAAACTTGTAGCCCAAGTTAGTGTGGAACAATGTTCTCCCCAGACAGAAGTCCTGAGGACACTGTTTTCAGAGGTCCCCAACTTCACAGCCCATCCCAGTCATGTTACAGTAAAGATCACAATCAACAAGTTTCATCCTCAAACCCACCCACCAATTTCTAGCCTGCAAACATGAGCAGAAAGCCCGATTTAACTGAAACCCAAGGAAAAACTCAAACATAAAGGTTAAAAAGGCAAAAAAGTAAAAGTTCTTAGAGGAACTAGAAATTATTCAGTTAAAAAAAAATAAGACCAGAATGAAAAAGTATATATACACATAAAACAAGACAGAATAATATTTTAAAAGGTGGAAAACTAAAAAAACATGAGAGAAAAGAATAATTGATGATAACTACAGAATCCAATATGTTTTTTAAAAAAAAGAAAGAAAGAAAAAGAGAGAGAGAGAGAGAGAGAAGGAAAGAAAGAAAGAAAACAGAAGGAAAGAACAGAAAAGAGTAGGACAAGGAAATGACCTAATAAATTTTTTAAACTGCAATAATGAAGAACATGAGTCTCCAAATTAAAAATCCTTATGAAATAAAGAAGCTAATAGATGAAAGCACAATTAGCAGCTACAACAAAAGGTCTTATAAAGAAGCAGAAATCCAACTTAGTTGAGACTTCTTAATAGCAACAATAAAAAATCAGAAAAACAATGGAATAGTTTCTTCATAATTTCTAAGGTAATGATCATCAACGTAAAACTATACTCCCAGAAAAGCTATATATCATTTCTGAGGACAGAATATAGAGTTTTACAAATATTGGAGGTCTCAACAGAATTTAAATTTCTGTGGGCTCATTTTTTGAGCTTTTTAATACACTTTGGGGAGCAGTTTTAGATTCATAGCATAATGGGCCGAAGGTACAGATATTTCCCATATACCCCCGACTGCCACATATTCACAGCCTTCCCCACTATAAAAATCCTACTCCATAGTACATTTATTAAAATCAATGAACCTACACCACTAAATCATTATCACCCAAAGCCCAGAACTTACAACAATAAGTTCATTCTTAGTATTTCATATTATATAGTTTGATACAAATGTATAATAATCTCTATATATAAAAGCCTAAGCAACCATTCGACCAGTAGCTATTATGTGTACTGACCACCAGGGGGGAGACTCTCAATGCACAGGCATGGAAACATGGAACAGATTGACGATTCTCAGAGGGAAAGGGGGACAGGGAAGGGCAGGAAGAGATTAACCAAAGATCTTATATGCATACTAGAGGCACAGATTTGTGCACCAGTGGAGTCCCTCAGCCTGCCTGTGGGGATCGGGCCGAACCCATGCACGAGGCCTTTGACATCCCCTGAGGGGTCCTGGATTGAGGTTTCAGGCCAGGCCAAGGGACTCCATCAGTGTACAAATCCATGCATTAGGCCTCTCGTAAAATAATAAAAATCCTCTGTGCACCTCCTCCACTCTGCACCCAACCCTCATTGAACTTTTTTCCATCTTCCTAGTTGTGCCTCTTCCAGAAGTAATATACTTCAAGTCAGACAATATCCTGTTCCGAGTGGCTTTTTTGACTTAATAGAATGTATCTATGGTTCCTTCATGTATTTTGTGTCTTGATAGATCATTTTTTAGCATTGGATAATATCCCATTGTTTGAATATACCACAGCTCATGTATGCATTCACATACTGAGGAACATTTTGGTTGCTTCCAAGTTTTAGAAATTATGGAAACACTAGTATACATTCACGTGTAAAGTTTGTTATAGTCTTTTCAACTTATTTGAGAGCAAATATGAAGGAGGGCAATTGTTGGACCATATAAAAAAATATGTTTACTTTTGTAAAAAAAAAAAAAAATTGTCCAATTTTTCCCCCAAGTAGATGTACCTACCATCTTGCTTTTCCACCAGCATGAATGAGAGTTCTTGTTACTTCATGTCCTTGCGAACATTAAGTGTTGACATTCTAGATTTGGGCCATTCTAATAAAAGTGTAGTGATAGCTCATTTCTGTTATAAGTTGCATTTCCCTGATGATATATGATGTGGAGCATCTTTTTAGATGTTTATTTGCCATCTGTATATCTCCTTTGGTATGGTGCCTGCTCAGGTCTTTTATCATGTTGTTAAAATTGAGCTGTTCATTTTCCTATTGTTGAGTTCTTTGTATATTTTGGATAATAGTCCTTAATCACAAATGTCTTTTGGAAACATATTCTTTTAATAATTTGTGGCTCATATTCTCATTCTTTTAAGAGATTATTTTGCACAGCAGGTTTTAGTTTTAATGAAGTCTAACTTATCAATACTTCCATAAATTGTGCTTTTGGTGTTGTATCTTAAAAAAAAAAAAAAAAATGCCCGGCCAAGACTGGTTTGGCTCAATGGATAGAGCGTCGGCTTGGGGACTGAAGGGACCCAGGTTCGATTCTGGTCAAGGGCATGTACCTTGGTTGCGGGCATATCCCCAGTGGGGGGTGTGCAAGAGGCAGCTGATCGATGACTCTCTCTCATCGATGTTTCTAGCTTTCTATCTCTCTCCCTTCCTCTCTGTACAAAATCAATAAAATATTTTTTTTTTAAATGCCCTATCAATGGTCATCTAGGTTTTCTACTGTGTTATCTTCTAAGAGTTTTATAGTTTTATGTTTTACATGTAAGTTACATTTTTAGTTAATTTTTGTGAAGGGTGTAAAGTCTGTCTCTAGATTCTTTTTTTGCATGTGGATGTCCAGTGTTTCAATACCATTTATTAAAAAGATGATCTCTGCACTGTTGAATTGCCTTTGCTCTTTTGACAAAAGTCAGTTAACTACTTGTGTTGGTCTATTTCTCAGTTCCCCCTTATGTTCCATTAATTGATGTCTATTCTTTCACTAATACCACAGTCTTGACTGGTATGGCTCTTCAAGTGGAGTAGTCTCAGGGTTCCAACTGGGTTCTCCTCCTCCAATATTGCATTGGCTGTTCTGGTTTTTCTCTATCTCCACATAAACTTTAGTATTAGTTTACCGAAAGCTGTAAGAATTGACATCTTGATATTATTCAGTCTTCCTATCCATGAACATAGAATATCTCTCCATTTATATAGTAGTTCTTTGATTTTGCTCATCAGAGATTTGTACTTTTCTTCATACAGTTTTTATATACATTTTGTTAGATT